CAACTGGACATCACCAACTTTAGCCTCGTATGAAACTCTTGTTACTTAATCCAGCATCAATACAAGTCGCTCTAGCTTGCATCGCAATAGATTAGCAGTTTGTCGTTCATTCTTTTTTACTGTTCAAATGCAGACGAAATGCTCCAATTTGAAGTGCAATCGCGGGTTACAGCGAGTGCTTTCACATACGCCCATCACTTTACTTAAAATTAAACAAATTTGAATCAAACATCCCTATTTTTCCTGGTTTTACAACTTGAAGCTTTGAAAAATTGGAAAAGCCTGAATGGGTCCTGCATCGACTGTCTCTATCGATGTTAACTGTTTTTTTATTAGTCATTTGTCTAGCTTCGATAGATGCTTCATCTTAGCGAATAATAATTTCCAAAATCTACCGGAAATTGGTGTTGCCAGAGTAGAGTATTACGCACGGAATATCCGCGATATACCCTATTAATGATACAAGGTTAGTGATAAGATGAATCAAATGTTAGAAGAAATAACCAGTGCAGCGAGAAACATATATTCTTGGGAATTTCTTGCAAAGCTTTCCGGACAGAATTAGAAATAGCTCCAGTTAGCTCATTTTGCTTTCAGTCGTGTGAGCATGCATCGAGCATTGTCGCTGTCAGCGGTGCTCGCTGCCTCGCCGCTCGCTTCTGTGATTGCGGACTCGTGCGAGCCGGGTCATTTGGTGGTGTCACGTGGCGAAAGCGTGCGAGTGCTGTCACGACGTGGTTCGATTGCTCGGTGCTGTCGCGTGCATCGTCGTCCCGATCTCGTTTCAACCGGCATCGTTCCACTCCAGAACCTCCTCATCCGATGATCTAGTTCACGCGAACAGCATCTGTGCTCTCTTCCTTGCCGAGGCATCGTCACTGCATCTTTTCCACTCCTCCTCCGCACATAGCAGTGAGTAATTGATACAAGTAATAAAATGAAAAACGGCGATCTCTTCGCGATAATGTATTGTACACATTTCATTTCATCGTTTGTCTATGTTTGTTTTCTTTTCAAGTTTTCTCCTTTTGCATAAAGGTTTTGTCTCCATCCGGTACTTTTCAACTCTTTTATAATTATTTTTTTCTTTTCCCTTTAGCGTATGTATTATTCCACTGGTTGGTTGAATGTGCTTGCCTAGAGATTTCTAGTCTTCCTAACTAGAGTCGTAACTCGTTTGTTTCTGTTTCTTTTCACCGTATATTTTCGCATTCAATGTAGCATTTATTTATGTTATCGCCATTCAATAAGCGATCAAATGCTATAATAATTATATTCTTTTCTGATTTTGTCCAATAAATACATCATCGTGGCCTTTGCCTGTGAACATCAAGAAATTAAGAGATATTCACGAAAATTTGAATGAATCATTATTGTGGCAACAAAAAAAAAACTTTAAGGACACAATAAAAAGCAAAACTTTAAAGAAAGATCTGACATGCTGTTATACGAAGATAGCTAGTAGTGTGTTTATGCGCGATTCCAAGGAACGTTCAGGCAAGGAGTAGTCCCAAAGATTTACGTCAGCCTTGAGAACTAGTTTAACGTAGAATTTAGCCAACTAGACGTGAAACACCACCAATTTAGCTCTACCTTTTCAGCTACTATAAATTTTTCTTCAAAATTGAAGATGAGCGCATTCCCCCTTGGCTTATCGCTGGGGATGGAAAAACATGCTTATGAGTAGTAAAATGCACGATTCAAAGAATGAATCGATGAATGTTTGAGTAGTTCGCAGAAATGAAAAAAATGGTTGTTTGACCGTATGACTAGGGTGTATACAATGAATCAGTATACTGTATGTAGAAAACGCAAGAATTCTTTTCTCCAACCTATTCATCGTCTCTGTTTAGTTTTCGATAGTTCCTCTTATCTAAATTTGTATTTCCAGTTCTCATAGGATATAAACTAGATTGGGGAGCTATAGCCGCCACTTCGTGCAATATCCGAAGCTCTGAATAATTTATTTGACTCGCAAATCTCCTATTCTAATCATGAGATGCTCAGGAATCTTTAT